ATTGCTAGATTTTAGCAGAATATAGCAATTGCAGGTATCATCGTTTGTAGAAGAATTTGTGGAGGGAAAACAGATCATGACTTAGGAAAGGATGGAAATTAGCTACAGAATTCTTTGATGCAGCTTGTGGAATGACAGTCCTGGTACTAATAAAAATCAACATGTTGAACTAATATACCCTAGGAAAGTACCTCCTACCCTTTTCCCAGTCATGGCACACATAATAAAGTTCAGTAATAGCTAAGGTCTGAAAGGAAGGTTTGATTCTGAGACCTGATACCTCCCAGATCTCATGATATTAAAAAGTATATTGAGAGATAACAGTGAACCTGGGATCTAACTAAATGGTGATAATGATATCATAAGAGGCTGGTGTTTTGCAGAGAAACCAGACAAAGGGAGGGCTTTGTCTTGTTTGCCCAGTGTTGTATAAAGAGGAGTGGCTTTTGGTGGACATGAGTGTTCTGCTCCCTAGGAGGAAGCCAGTGTAGCAGGAAAGAAGCAGACACCACTCTTAGGAAGCCCCTGGGAACACTTTAAAACATATGTCTTAAAAAACAGAACAGGGACATGCCTGGGTGGCTCAGTCAGTTAAGCATCTGCCTTCAGCTTGGGTCATGAAACCAGGGTCCTGGGATCAAGCCTCACATCAGGCTCCCTGCTCAGCGGGGAGTCTGCTTCTCCCTCTCCCTTTTGCCACTCCCCCCCCCCCCCCCTTGTGCCCCCTCCCGTCAAAAAAATAAAAAAAATTGTCAAAAACAAAACAAAAAAACAGGCTCCTGAGTGGCTCAGATAGTTAAGTGTCTGACTCTTGATTTTGGCTCAGGTCATGATTTCAGGGTTGTTAGACTGAGCCCTGTATTGGGCTCCACATTCAGTGGGGAGTCAGCTTGAGATTCTCTCTCTCCCTCTCCCTCTGCTCCTCCCCCCTTCAAATAAATAGATAAATAAATCTTAAAAAAAACACAACAACAGTCAAAACTCAAGCAGGAAGAAAAAACTTCTGCTTAGGTATTACAGCACTGAAAAACGTTATGCTGTGTGTGGTTTTAATATGAATATATAACTTTGAATTATCTTTTAAAATTATTCCATATTTGTGGCTGGTGCCTGGCACAGCTGAGTTCCTTTGGAACAGCTTAAGAAATACTGCCCTATGGCAAATGACCCAGGCTCTCAGCTCTTAGGACCTGCCACCATCATTTACTGTCATTCTTTGCTGAAAATGGCTTCTGATTACTAAACCGGCTTTCCAGAAGTTTTGAATGGGCAATGGGTTGCAGGGTAGGAGTATTGCCCTGGTGTAATTGTTCCAGTAATTAGAACTGTGTATTTCCCATTACATCAAATTTGTTGGCATTCTGGGTTTTGTGTGTTTAAAAGGTGTGAGTTGGGCGCTGCCTGGGTGGCTCAGTGGGTTAAGCCTCTGCCTTCAGCTCAGGTCCTGATCTCAGGGTTCTGGGATCAAGTCCCACATCAGCCTCTCTGCTAGGCAGGGAGCCTGCCTCCTTCTCTCTCTCTCTCTTTCTCTACTTGTGATCTCTCTCTCTGTCAAATAAATAAAATCTTAAAAAAAAAAAAAAAAAAAAGGTGTGACTTGGTTTCTCAGAGTCCTGACTGCCCTTAGATGAACTAATAGTGTCTGATCTCAGAGGTGAAGCTGGCACTCCCTAACCCTCAGGGCCCTTCTTTTTTGATCTGCAGTAGTTTCTTAGATTGTTTTTAACTTTTAAAAAATGTAATTCTAACAGTCATTCAATCTCAGCAATCTCAATTGCCTTAATCTTTCCCTATTAATTAAAATAACATTTTAGGGGCGCCTGGGTGGCTCAGTCTTTAAGCATCTGCCTTCGGCTTGGGTCATGATCCCAGGGTGCTGGGGTCAAGCCCCACATCAGGCTCCCTGCTCGGCGGGAAGCCTGCTTCTCCCTCTCCCGCTCCTCCTGCTTGTTCCCTCTCTCGCTGTCTCTCTCTCTCTGTGTCAAATAAATAAAATCTTTAAAAAAAAACAACTTTTTGGCTGGTAGGCAGGGACCATGTTTTAGTTTTAATCGGCAACCTACAATCTAAATTTTGCCTATCTGCGCCAAATATTTTAAAGTAGGGGCTACTCAGAGCAGGCAGGCGTCTGATAATATATAAACTCAACCAAATTGTAATTCCTGTCAATCTGTTAGGTTCTTCATGACAAGCCTGTAGGCTTTTATTCAGTAGTCTGGTATGGTTTTAGAACCCATATATATTTTTTTAAAACCACCTCTGCTGATTTTGATCAGATTGCTCTGGATAGCAGCCTCAAATAGAAGTGTGCATTCTTGAGGCATACTTATAAATGTAGATTCCTAGGTCCCAACACCAGAGAGTCAGATCCTGTTAAGAAACCAAAATTAAGACCCAAGAAGCAATCAAAACACTTAAAGGCTATAAACATATCATAAGCAGTTAATAGATACTGTTTGATTCAATTGCCCAGTGTGGTGGGAATTCCATGTGTGCTAGAGACATTCTAAACTTCATGGAAGAGGTGGGGCCTTAGGCTTGGTAGGGGGAAGGGATTTAGACACAGGCCAGGAAGAGCAGGGGAAGGCATTTATGCACTGAAGTGTGGGAAGAGCAGAGGCGGGCGGATGTGCAGAGGCACACATGGGCCGGGTGGAGGTGGAACTGAGAGATGAGCATGACTGTACAGAACACAGAGATTCGTGTTGTTTGTTCTTACCCTGTGTTGTTCAGATAGGAGCTGGAGTGCTGTGTAATCAATGGCACCTTATGGATGTGTGGGCTCCTCTGAGACATCCCTTCATTCCTGATGAGTAGCCATGAGTGGCTGATAGAATTGACTTGAAGGGTGCCTTCCTTCCTCCTTTTGGTTCCATTTGGGTTCCTCCTCAGGGTAGAACTTGGCTTGAGAAGATCATCTCTCATAGAAGGGATTGAACTCCAAACATACTCTTGTAATTTTTTTGATTTTTAACAGATATCAGTATCAGAGGGAACCGAAATAGTAGGGTATTAAGTGTTTTATTCAGACAGGTCATTGTGCTGGGCTCTGGTTCCACCCTGTGTGGCCTAGAGGAGCCCCCTGTTCTACCTGGAGAAAGAGAATTACAATTGCAGTGATGAGTTGTTACCCAGGAAGCCAGGTCAAGTATAAAGGATGATCAGCTGATCCAGCTCAGAGGCATCAGGTTCTGGAAAAGCTTTATACAGGAAGCACATCTGAGCAGAATCTTGGAGATTGAGTAGGAGTTAACCAGGTGAGGAGAGGAGGTGCTCCAGGAAATGAGAATGCATTGGCACAATCACATCTGTGGGAAAGAACAAAGCATGATCGGAGTTGTAAAGAGTTTGGTCAGCAGGAGCTCAGGGTGCCTGAAAGAAGCTGAGGCCAGGAAGGTATACGCAGGGGGCAGATCTTGCTGTGTCTCGCAGACCATGCTAAAGGGCTGGATTTTTGTGAAGGCAATCGGGAACTGTCAGAGGGTTTTAAGCAGTGTTATTTTATGTTCACTGTGGCTGGAGTATGAATGACAGATTAAAGAGGGCAAAGCCAGAGTCAGGCAAGAGATGCTTGGAGTTGAGAATGGAGAGAAAAGGACAGATGGGGAAAATTTAGAAGGCAAGTGCAAAAGGACTTGGTGACTACTTGACATTTGGCAGAGGAGGGAGAAGTTCTGACACGGAGCGATGCTGCTGCCATCCCCTGAGGTCTGGGTATGGGACGACGTTCAGTCTGCTGGGGACGATGATGACTTTGTTCATGTAGGGAGCAGACGGACTCTGAGGTGTTTGTGGGACATCCAAGCGGAGGTGTCTGGAGAGCCTGTGGATAGTGATCTCGAGGCAGGAACGTAATGGGCCAGACATTGGTGTGAACGGGAAGAGATAATTTGTTGTACTAGGTTGGTTTCATCTCCAAAATATTTCTCAAAGCAACCACTACTTTCCACCTCCTCTCCAATCCCTTGGTTCAGGCTGCTATTATCTTTTAATTGGTTTGCCTACTTCTGTGTCAGTCTATTCTTAACACAGATGGCAGAGTGATCTTTTAAAAACGAGATGGAATCTTATCATTTCCCTGCTTAACATCCATTGCCACTGACTTCCCATTGCCCTTAGAATAGATTCAAACTTCTTACCATGCTGTGAGGTCGTGCCCGATCCGGCGTGGCCTTCCTCCCTACCCCTACACATGTCTGGAGCCACTCTTCTCCTTCATTGACGGTGCCTCTTCTAGGCCCAGGCTTTTCTTCAGTCTCAACCTACACCAGGTTCTTTCTCTTTCCTCTGCCTAGATCACCCTTCCCCCACGCCTGTTCCTGCTTACCTCCTCACCTTTCAGATCTTACCTCAGACAGCATTTTCTTCAGAGGAACCTTTTCCAGTCTCCTGAGCTGTGTTAGAGACGTCCTGCGTTTTTCTTTCCTAGCACTTATGTTTGTTATTAGTTACTCCGTGAACATATCTCCCATACAAGCTCTATGAGGGCAGAACCCTTCCTGTGTTTGTTTGCCATCATACCCCCAGTGCCAGACAGTCCTGAGCCTGGAGTAAGCACTCCAGGAAATACTGGTTAGGTTTGTTGAATGAATGAGGGTCCTAATCTCAATTTTTCTTTGCTGAAAAACTTGGAGTTTTTACGCTGTCACAGAATAGATATGATTCAAGCCTTACGATTTAAGTAGCTGATTTCCTCTACTGTGGGTAGTCCTATTACATTTCCAACTGTCATTAAATACCTTGCCTCTGGGAGGTTAGGGCATTACCACAGCAAGGCAGATCTTAAGGGTCTTTTTCCTCCCTTTTTCCCCCGTATTCATTATGGGACCGGTCACCGTGGCCTGCCCCATCCTGAGTAGGACACGGATACAGGGCTGAGGGTTGAAACTGGGAAAACTGGTACTTGTTGCCTTCAGCTGGGCCACTGTGCCCGAGTTTCGTCGCAGCCTTCTGCAACCCTGATGTGGGAAGGGTCCCGACACATGCTGTTTTCATTGCAGCCGTGGGAAAGTCCACCTTTGTGAAGTTACTCACGAAAACTTACCCCGAGTGGCACATAGCTCCAGAGCCTGTAGCGACATGGCAGAGTGTCCAGGCTGCTGGCACCCAAAAAGTAAGTTTTCATTTGTGGTGGGTAGTTGGCCGGCACGGATGAATAAACTCATTGTAATAATCTCATTTGCTTGAAGTAGGTGAAACAGCTCAGTTTGAGTCTCTTTTTTTAAAAATCATTTCATTCCAGAAAGCAGACCACATGTGCCAGAGAGGATATGACTTGTTTTGAATATGTTTAGTTTTGATTTTTGTGGTTTTTACATGTCTACATAAGTGACTGCCTCTGTTCTTTGTGGTTTCCCAAAGTATGTCCAGCCGTCCTGGCTTTGTCATTCCTACCCTTGAGTGTATTACTGAAGCTGACCTTCAGGATTAAGAGCTAATTATAGTGATTTTTTAACTTATTTATGAAGTGTTAGAAATTGGAAGGGCCATCTTGTCATAGTCTGAGTCAGTGCAGAAATACTAGCTAACACTTATAAAGCATGAACTTTGCCACATGCTGTGCCAAGTGGTGCACATTTCACTTCTGCCTCGTGGCACAGGACCTAGTGTCGAGCCTGCTGCTTTGGGAGGGGCCATGGCATTGGTTTTGACACCAGCCATATCCACGTGAGTAGGGAAGGACCAGTCTGGACGTGAACCTTTGGGGTAGCTGCAGGAATTATTTCCCTACGCTCCTCCCGCAGCCTCCAAGAACATTTCACTGAGTAGCTCATTCTGGTTTTTAACAAAACTCTTAATTGTTAGAGAGTTCTTGTACGAGCCACTTTGCATCCCTGTGATGCTGAGTCATTGGTTCAAGTTCTGCTTCTTGAGTTTCTAACTTCTCTACATGACAACCCTTCATATAGTTGAAGGTAATTCATGATTTGTTTGCTCTTTCTCCTCGTGTCTTCTTTCAGACCAAACACCCATTTCCCCCCAGACTGGTCCTCATTCTGAAGTCACTTTGTCTAGGCAATAAGCTCCAGTTGGTTAGTTTTGCACTTAGACTAAGAGTGGTGCTCTGAGTGGTAGAGAATATCATAGAACTTGTTCTTAGTGGCATTTTTCTGTTATTCCAGCTCAACATTTTGTTACCTCTTTTGGCAGGCACATCATGCTTGTTGTGGACCTATGTTTTTTTAAATTGTCTCTGTGTGTGTATGTATGTGTTTATGAAGTTAATTTTCCATTTAGAAAATAAATTACATATCTTTCTCTAAGGATGTCACAGGTCACCTGTTGTGGGGATTTGAAAATATGTTCACAAATTGTTTGTTGAACTTTCCTTTAAGAGGTAGACCCTAATTCTGTCCTTGAGTGTGGGCTGGATTTAGCGCCTTGCTTCTGATGAAGAAAATGTAGCAGGAATAACAGTGGGACTTGCTAGGATAGGCCAAAAGAGACATTGTATCTTCTACCTCTTTCTGTCTTGATCACTTTTGGCTCTGGGGATGCTAGCTGCCATGTCATGAAGCATCCTTGTCTGTGAAGAGGCCCATGAAGCAAGAGATTGAGTCCTCCTGCCAACAGCGGTGTGAGTGAATCTTCTTGGAAGTGGATCTTTTGTCCCCAGTCAAGTCTTCAGATGATTGACCTCAGCCAACATCCCCACTGCAACTTCGTGAAAAACCCTGAGGCAGAACCAGCCAGCTAAGCTGTGTCCCGATTCCTCACCCATAGACACTGAGATAATGAACCCAAGCCACCAAACTTGGGTACAATTTGTTATGCAACAGTAGATACCTAATATTCACATAGTTCTGATATTCAGAGGTAAAGAGTTTAACGTTTTTGTTCTTTTAGATTTCTTTCTACTTAGGAGAAAATATATATATTTACTTACACCTGTATAAATATATAAAACATATATACATGTACTTTTTTTTAAACAAAAATTGTAATTGTTACCTGCATGGCCTTTGATATACAAGATCTAACTTCCACAGTAATTTTAGCAATTGCAGTGTATTGCATAATATGATTCTTTAATTAATGTAATCGATATATTTAATTTAATTAATATATAATGTTATATGTTATATGTAACAATTTCTTCCTGTTAGAAACAATGTTACAATGATGAATATCCTTGTAGCTACATCTTTTTTCTTGTTAAGAGCTAAATTTTGTGTCCTTTTATATTTTAAGAAAATCTATGGTTGGAATTTTAATGTCCAAAAATTGCACATCTTGTTGATTGTTGACACCTGCTATAGTTTACATAGTTTTCCTTCAGAAAAGTTGTGCCACTTTCCCCATACTTTTGGCAACACTGGGTATTGCTGTTTTTCGTTGTTGCTAACATGAGGGGCAAGAAAGCCGTTACTTTGTTTTACATTTCTTTGATTACCAATGGATTCAACACCTTTTTTATACTTATCAGCCATTTATTAGTATTCTTTAGTGAATTGCCTATTCAGACCTCTTGCTTCTCCCCCCCACCCCCGCAGATCTTCAAATTTTTGTAATGGTTTTATAAAAACTCATTGTATGTTAAGTATCTTAACTCTTTGTCACATATTGCTGATCCTTTCCCCAGTTTGTCACTTTTCTTTTATCTCTATATATGATGTATTTTGCAGTATAATCCATTTAAGTTTTTATGTAGTCAAATCTGTCTTTTTCTTCATAATTACTGCCTTTGATGTCTTAGAAAGACTCACAATCCAAAATTATAAAAACATGCGCCTGCATTTCTTTCTCATGCTTTTATGGTTTTATTTTGCTCTTTATGTGACTTTAAAAGTTATAGGAGGTTGATTTTTTCCAAGTCATTATTTTCATTTTGTAGTAGTATTCTTGTTTTATTTTATTCCTGAGTGGTTATTTAATTCTTATTATGGTGACTGGGATCTGTTTTCCCATCATCTTTTTCAAACTGGTTATTATTGTTTTAAAGGAAAGCAGTTAATTGTTTAGGAAAGCAGTTAATTGTTGTGTTTGTCTTGTAATATTATTGTTTTGTTTTGTTTTGTTTTTGCTTTATTTGCTTGAGGTTTCAGAAAATTATAGTTTTCCCTAAATACTTATCATTTGTAAGAGTTTTCCAATAGCCATACTTCACTTCTATTTTCTTGTTTTCTTTTATTGGATAGAAGTTCCAGAGCAATACTAACTATAATAGCACTGATGGTAGTCAGCCTTAAGTTGTTCTATCTTTAATGAAACTACCTCTAATGTATCAATATTAAGTTTTGTGATTGTTAGTCGTTTCAATAGATCATGTGGAGGAAGTACCCTTATAATTATTAGGACAGGAACTATTTTCCTCAGGATCAGATATTGAATTTTCATCAAAAGCCTTTTTAGTATCTAGTGAGATAACCACAGGGTTTTTCCTTTTTTAATCTCTTAGTATTAGTAGATTTGATAATGGTGCCATCTGTACATTCTAGAATGAACGAACCCTTTTGATCATGGTACATTAGCCCATTAATTTGCTAATAGATTGTTTGAAATTTTGCATGTATATTTATATATTTAATTGGTATTACTATTTTTTGACAGGTTTTACCATTGGGGTTATAAAATGAATTGGGTAGTTGTATACTGTTTTAGTGTAGGAATTATTTATTCTTTGAAGGAGGGATAGGAATTTTTTTTAAATAGTACGGATTCACTGCTCTTTGGGTGGAATAGTAAGTGGACAGCTGTTTCTTCCTCAGCTATTCAGGGTTTGCGGGTTTTTTGTTTTTTATTCTCTTGAATCAATTTTGATAACCCTTGAAATTAGAAAATTTCCCTTCTATTGAGATTTTCAAATTTAATAGTATAAAAGCAGTACCTATATTTTTTTATGCTTCAATCCAGAATGACTGTGTTTTTTGTCTAATGTTACTTGTTTGTGTTAGTATTTGGGGAGGGCTAGATTTGATAGATGATTGTCTCTTTTCTTTTTAAAAGACCCAGTTAGTGGGTTTTATTAATTTTGTGGAGACTTGCATTCTAATTCATTAATTTTAGACTTTAAATTTACTCATTTCTTTCTAAGAACTTCTGTGTATTTTTAAAGTTAAATGATTAGTTTGTGTACTTTTCTTTTTTTCTTTCCTTAATAATAAAAGCATTTGCAGCTGAAAATTTTCTTCATGGAATAAGCTTTGGCCTTGTCTTGTAGAGTTTGACATATAAGATTTCAGTTTGACGTACAAGAAATACCAAATCTGTAATTGTCGTTTTTTATTTGTTTTGTAGTTTTTTATTTATTCTTTGCCCTAGAATTATTTTTAAAGTATTTTACATTTTCTGGGTAGATTTTGTATAGATTTTTTTACTCTTAAGTTTGTTTTGTTATGGTTAGACAACATGGCTTTTGCAGTTTCTAATTGGGGGAACTTACTGAGGTCTTCTTCATGGCTTATGTATGATTGAATTTTATATATGATCAATTTTGGTAAATGTGCCATGAACTTTTGAGAAGAATATGTACTATCTCTAAGGTATGGAGTTTGGTGTGACATATATTATAAATTCTAAGATGCCATTGATTCTAAGACACATAATCAATTTAATAATACTTCTAAGGAATAATTAAAATGTCTGTTAAAGTTTAACTTAAGGGGCATCTGGGTGGCTCAGTCATTGGGCGCCTGCCTTCAGCTCAGGTCATGATCCCCGGGTCCTGGGTTCAAGCCCTGCATCGGGTTCCCTGCTTGGCGGGAAGCCTGCTTCTTCTTCTTCCATTCCCTCTGCTTGTGTTCCCTTTTCAGCTGTGTTTCTCTCTGTCAAATAAATAAAACCTTAAAAAAAAAAAAGTTTAATTTAAACATTGTAAGATGTACATCAATTTCAGGTATGTGAAAAATAATAATGACTTAATAATAACAATTTAAAACAAGCTCTCATTTTTGGGGTCTACTTTTTATCTTAAATTCTGAGAAAAGTGTGGTAAGGTTTGTGCTTTTATTTTGTTCATTTCTTCTTGTATTTTTAATTGGCTCTGCCCTTACATTTCTATATTTCAGGACTTTATTATTGCGTGCAAAAAGGTTTGCAACTCCTTTGTGTAGTCTTTTTTGGTTTATTAGTATAAAAAAAACCCTCTTGTAGCATTTGATGCTTTTTCAAAATAGCATTTTGCCACATCTGCTTTCTTTTTATTTGGATCTGTTTGGTGGATTTTGCTGCCCTTTGTCCTTAAGTAATACATGTCATCTTGTTTTAGGTATTTTTCTCATGGGATTTTTAGTTTTTACCCAATGTTAAGGTTTGCCTTTCCTGGAAATTTTTCTCTTTTATTATAATTATGCTTAACTTATTTCTGTCACCTTACTTTGTGCTTTCGTCTCCTTTTTTTTTTTTCCTTTTTGCTATGTTTAATATTTTCTTTCATTTTTCTCCCCTTTATTCATATGGGAAACTTACTGTTTTTTATCCTAACCGGGGAAACATGTAAATTAAAAATGCACGTGTGTAGACCTATCTTTCAAGGTTAATGGAGTGTCTGTTACAGAGAAAAGAAGCCAAAACAGTATTCTGTTACTTTTTTATTACCTTCTTTGCCAAGTATATTGAAATTATCTGAAATTTTGTAGATCCAGAATGTTTTTACTTTGTGAAATTTCTCTCTTAACAATAGAAATGTGGCACTCAGTTTCACAGCCACATAAGTAATGGTTTCTCAGTTACACCCATACCTACACTTAACTCTGTTCTACTGGTTGATCACTGACCACTGTTTTCCCCTTACCACATCTTCCCATTTCTTAATTTTTTCAGTTGGTTGAAGTATATCTTAGAGAATTTTTTCAAAAAGAGCATGTGGGTGGTATAATTTGAGTGATTACTTGTCTAAAAAAGTCTTCCTTTTGCTCTGGAATGTAAAAGGTAGTTTCTGTTGTAGGGAAGCATTATATAGTTCTGATCTTTTTTTTTTTTTTAATAATTCATGTGATTTCCCCAGCATTAGGTTTTTGTTTTGTTTTTATGAATTATCAGTATTTTGTCAGGATACATCCAGTTTGGGTTTCTTGTGTGCACCTGTGTGTGTTTATGAAAGCTGTATATGTAATCTTTTCTGGTATTCTGAATTTTTCTGGTGGAAAGTCTCGTGTCTCAGAGATTTTCTTTAATTTTTTCTTTTGTTTTAGCTTTTCTATCAGATCAATTCTTTCTTACTATAGCTTCCAGTTTTAAACTTTTTCTTGAATACCTAGAGATACTACATGGTTCTGTCAGTGATTCTCAATGATGATGAAATTTGATGAGGAGACACACCCCTCATGAGTAATGGTCTTCCTGTGCTCATCTCTTGTTGGGGATGGCATTTCCCCTTTCTGTATTGGACTCTTGTCTCATGAGAAGGAAAATTGTTTCCTTAGGTAGCTTTGTCTGAGCTACGGGTACTGTCGAGTTGTGGGTCATTTTAGCTCTTGTTTGGAAAGTTGTTTGATATAAAATTATATTAATTGCTGTGAGGTAGAACACAAGTGACATTACATCTTGATATATCTTTCCAGAGGAAAAAAAAGAAAGGCAAAAAATACCCTAGCATGATACTACAGTGTACATTGGATCTCCTTCTAACCTGTATGTCTTCATTTGTGTCATGATTTTCTGGGTGGTTTTCCCTCTCTTAGTTTAAGGACCATTTCTTGAGCTGATGTTCTGTATGACATTGACTAATTAGGTTTACTGCAGTATACAATCTGCTAGTTACTGTCTTCATAGGGTGTTTTGTTTTGGCAATTGCATTTTTTCTCCTCTAAGAATGTTCTTTTCATATTATTCCTGTTTTTATGACAGCCTGTTCTTATCAATGTAGCAGTCTCTTGAATCTCATTGAGATTTTTCTGTTTTGTTTTATTTCTGGCAACAGCTCTGTCTCTTAAGGGGCTGCTTGTCCTGAGCAGATGCATTGGTTTTCTCCCTTTGAATTGCTGAATATTACTGTATCCAGTCATTGTCCCTCTCTCTGCTTATGTATTTGAAGGGATGTTTGCATTTGTTCTGTAGCTGAGATGGGTTCTTTCAGAAATTGTGTAGTCCCTGTACAGTTTTTGTTCCAGAACAGTCTCCCTTGGGTAGCCCAGAGGCCACTAGTACATCTGTACACATAGCCCCCTCACTCTCTTCACTGGGCTTCCATGCAGTCTCTAACCATGCTGCACCCCACGGGCACTCTGCTATCTCTAGTGACGCCATCAGAGACTCACGTGGATTCAGATTTGTCCCCCTGCCTCTACTTCCAACTCTTAACCACCAGTTATTTGTGAGACTGCTGGTCTGTGTTTGTGGGTTAGAGGATTGGAAGGGGGGAGAACATGCTGTGATCCATTCTGCTCTCCCTGCGTTGCTCCCAGTGAAGCCTTTCAAAGGACTGGAATCCTTTTTCAGAATCTGTGGTTGATACTTAGCCAAACGGGACCATTTGTGGTTGTCTAACCTGTTCCCCCTCCTCTATCTCTTTTTCCACCCCAAAGGTGCTCTTAGTCCCCATTTCTGTCTATGGAAATTCCATGTGTCATTACTTCTCAGCTTGTCTTTATATGGAGAAGCATTAGAATGAAATTAGAGGAAGCCAGGTTTGAGTCCCTGTTCTGCACTTAACTCACCTTGAAACCTTGGACAAGTTACTTAACCTTTCTGAGTGGATTTGACCCTCTCAAGAAAATGAGCATGACAGCAGTGCCCTCTTCATGAAGCTGTTTTGAAGATTAAATGACATAACAGCACAAGTGAACATGGAAAATAAATCTTAGTTTTGTTTTCTCTACCCCTTACGGCCTTGAGCCTGTGTAGCGCCTCATCCACGGGGGCCTTCGGTTAATGGAGATGAATGAATTCACTGGGTCAGTGGCAGAGTCCAGGGCTCCCAAGTATCTCACGCATGTTCCCACCTACATATGCTGAGGAAGTGGGTCTTCAGATACTTTTCATAATGTCTCCAGAATGGAGGAGGAAGGTTGCGTTTGTTTTAATCCCTTCTGTGTATGAGAGAGAAAATTCTGTTTGGTTGGTTAGTTGGATTTTCAAATAATCCATTACTTTCTTGTCTGGGTTGAAGTTTTGTAAAGAAGTAGCCACAGATGGAAGTTCAAAAGAGAGGCCACATAGTGTTATAATGGGAAGATTCGATTCCAAGTAGTCTTAGGTGGTTGTTGGTTAGCTCCTGGTCAGACAGACTCCACAAACCGGTCACTGAATGTGCTAATTGTTTGGTGGTTCTTCCTCTGCTCTTCTCTGGTATGTTGAAGGTGGCATGTCCTCCCCTCTCAAACTCTTGTTTTATCGGGTAGGAAATCCCTTCCTCGATTAAATAGCTTTGACTCAACTGGGGGATAGGATTATATCTTTTTAGGAGAAGGAAACTTTTGTTATTGCTTCCCTCACTGATTATTAGACCATGGTGGTGGGGAGTAAACACCATGAGGTATATAAACCTTCTAGGGAATTCTCCTCTTTTCTAATTTCCCTCTAGGCCTTCACTGCCCAGAGTCTTGGAAACTTGCTGGATATGATGTACCAGGAGCCAGCTCGATGGTCCTACACATTCCAGACGTTTTCTTTTATGAGCCGCCTGAAAGTACAGCTGGAGCCCTTTCCTGAGAAACTGTTACAGGCCAAGAAGGCGGTACAGATCTTCGAGAGGTCCGTGTACAGTGACAGGTAAGACCCTGAGCCCTTCACTGGTCACAAGCCCCATGCTCAGCGCTGCGTGTTTTCCTTTCTTGCTACCTGTGGTTATTGATAATTGTACTTTTTCATTGCCCGTTTACTTCTGAAGATGCTAAGTTGGTTACCCATTTACTTCCAAATTAGACAAACTAGTTCTACTTCTTAGTGTTCCCATAAATCCTCCTAGAGGGAAAAAAAGAAGGGTACACTCACTTGGAAGTGTCATATAAATTTTTTCTAACATTATCTAAAAACCAAGCAAGATACGTAGAACAAGTCCTGTGGGCTTCATATTCCTTCTCTACCCTAAGAGAGAGTTTACTCTTTTTTTTTTTTTTTTAAGATTTTATTTATTTGACAGACAGAGATCACAAGTAGGCAGAGAGGCAGGCAGAGAGAAGGAAGCCCTGATGCGGGCTCAATCCCAGGACCCTGGGATCATGACCTGAGCTGAAGGCAGAGGCTTTAACCCACTGAGCCACCCAGGTGCCCTGAGAGTTTACTCTTTACAAAAGCTAAATATGTGAATTATAAGTAGTTGAGCTATAGATGTGGGTTCTTTTGTTGGGTACAAAGTTGTTGGGTACACTACTGCATGTTTTTCTCTCCTGTTTCCCAAGCCATGCCTCTTAGACTAGGAAGATGAATTACATATAACCATCCTGGTTACCTGGAAACAATTCACCATGGGTTTTTTGATTTAGCCCTTTAGTGAAGTAGGCATGTGAAAGACCCCTCAGAAAAAGAAATACTTCGTTGAGAAGTTACAAGATCTTAACGTTTTCTTGTAAAGGAAGAGATAAGAATTGATTTTGCTATAGGCAGCTGCACATTCTGGGTATTTTCTTCAGAGGGGGCGTTTTTGAGATAGAAAGGACAATTCATTATATATTCTAATTATGATAGTAATTTAGACCTTTTGCCTTCTTTAAAAAATTCATTCATTCTTTCCTTTGCTCAGCACAGACTTACTAAATCCCCATATGTTCAGGCACTGGGCTAGACCCTGGGGCTGCAGCAGTGAGCAAGGCAGACCCAGTCCCTGCCTTTAGGGCCACCTTAGTGTAATGGGGACTCTGAGACAGCACACATGCTCATGTGTGTGATGTGTATCCCAAAGGAGGAACACAAGTTGTTCAGGAGAGTGGATGGCTAGGAAGAAGAAATCTAAATCTTTTCTGTTGGAGTTAAACAGTAGTGTGTGGTTTTAGAACGGGGACCCTGCTGCTTGGGTTCTGATGCTCCTTCTGTGCGGCGCCTGCCCGCAGACTGCAGTGGTTCCCTCCCCTGGTCCTGTGCACCCCAGAGGTCTAACCCCGCTCCGCCGGTCACCACTAGCTGTGGAGAAATAGAGAGGTGCTCATCCCCAAGAAAGAGGAGGGCCCCTCTTAAAGGGCTTCTTAACAGATACATCATTGCTCTTTGTGGGATTTTAACTTCTAAGTTGCCTGTGAAGAAGCTGAAACTATTTTTCAGAAATTGAGTTACAGACGTCATCTTTCTGTGTTGCCTTCAGCTAGACTATAGCTAAACCATCCCAGACTGAGAAAGTTGACTTAGGGAGCCCCTAGGTTAATTTCTTCACAGCCCAGCAAAGAAGTAGGTATAATAGCAAAGATGTTCGACTCCTCTGCGCCTAGTCACTCCTCCAGTCGCCTCGTGAGTGCTCCCGGCAGTCGTCACCACAGTGCTGTGAGTCAGGTTCTCCCATCATCTCTTTGTACAGAGGAAGAAATGGGCTGAGGAAGTTTGAGGACTTGCCCATGGCAACCCAGTTTGTGAATTTTGGGGGCCAGGCTCACACTCGGGACCGTGACGCTGCTGCCCATTCTCTTCCTCGCAACACTTGCAGCCTTGTGGTGTATACTTTTCTGGACCATTCGTGTACAAGGATTCTGAATTTCATTTTCCCAGAAGTGGCCAGTTGCTAAGCGTTGCCTTAGAAACTAGTGTTCATTGTTTAGGATATAAATTGTGTTTTGTATCCAGATGCCTGAGGTTTGAAAGCAGAATTGACCCTTCTGAAGCAATGGTTTCTTCTTAGCTCTGATTTCCTATTTACCAGATGCTCCTTTAGTTGTGGAAGTAAGCAAGGGGCAAGCTCGTTTGATTTTTAGATTTAGCTTTCTTGTACCTGGACTAGAAGCTGAGTAGCAGAGGAAGCAAGTAAGGCTCCTGTGTGCTTTGGGGAGGGTCTGCTTTCTGGGGAACACTGCTGTGAAGAAGAAATGCCTCCCCAGCTCTGTAGGGGACACCACTTCCCTACATTGCCTTCTCCACTTATTACCCACACGAGAGGATGGCTCAGCTACCCGGAGGCTCAGAAGGCCTCATAAGCCCTAGATGCTTTGTTGGTTTGGGGGCTGGCTGCAATGATGAAGAAACCTCAAAAGTGTGAGTTTGCGTGCACTGTAGCTGCATGTCCTGCGTGGCCTCCAGCAGGGAGAATCACTGGCAACCGCTGATTGTCTTTTCCACTGCTCCTGTTCCGCCAGTGGATTAATCCAGTTGGAGAGCTGTGGTTTGGGCTTCTAAAGTCGACATGCTATTTCCCATCTTACTGCTGAACAAGGAAGGAGATACAGGCTAAGAATTCAGATTTCTTAAAGATTGAGCCAGAAAGGTTAAATGGCTTGCACAGTCATGGAACAAGTTGGTTATTGATTTTTCTGCTTCTCTCCCTTTTACCTTTCATTCCCTTAACCATTCTGATCGCCTCCCCTGATCCCACCTGTATTTCCAACCAGGTATATCTTTGCGAAGAATCTTTTTGAAAATGGTTCCCTCAGTGACCTCGAATGGTGCATCTATCAAGATTGGCATTCTCTTCTCCTGCGGGAGTTTGCCGGCCGGCTGAGATTACATGGCTTCATCTACCTCCAGGCTACTCCCCAGGTAGTGTGGAATGTCAAGCCTTAATCCTCAGTGCTGTAGGAAACCTAAGAGATGATACTCTCCAACACCCCATTTTCTGGTTGGAGAAATTGGAGCGGATATTATGTGGAGCATGGAGAGCAGTGGGGTTCACACCCTCCTGTTCTGGCATCGAGCACCCCATTTCCCACAGGCTTTCTGCAGCAGAGGGCTAAAGCAGATGACTGACAGGAAGGGGCCCTCTCAATGTAACAACAGCATAGAGAACATCGGGCATTGCCTTTCTTGGCCAGGGTTTGCACATTGGCTCCTCTGGCCAGGTCACCTGTAGCCAACTGTCTGGGCTTTCCCTTTCCTCCAGCTGGGTCTTTGGAGTCTGATGGTCTTGATGGTTGCCTGATATTAGCCTAATTTATAGCTGCCTTTTGAACCTTGAAGGTGTTGCTGGTAAGTCAGGGTGGACTACAGAAGTTACATTCTCTGACTTCTCTGACTTGGACCCTGGAGCCAGCCTCATACACTATAGGGTGATGTTGCAGGAGGAGCACCAAAGTCTCTGACTGGCAGTGACCATGGACAGCCCCTAGATACCTCTTCCCTGGAAGAGTCCTTGTCTGTCAGATTTAGTGGCTCAGGCTAGTGTTCTCTAAAGGCTCTTCTAGAGTGGGATTCTGAGTCAAGGCTGGAGGTATTTTTCGAGAGGTGTGTTGATCTCAGATTTTGAGACATATGTAATGGGTGGTCACATGTCAGGTCAGGTGTACAGCATAATCTCAGGAGGAAAGCTCCTTCTGACCAGAGGCTACGCTTTCTAGAGACAAGACTGAGCCTTGTGGACGGAGCAGGCCAGAGAGTAGACTGAGCAGTGTCAAAAGATATTGGGGAGCCCAACACTTGGACTTGCAGGAGCAGGAGAGGAGAAGGCCAGCAAGAAAGTCTTCCTCACTTCTTTGTGCACTTGGAATGACTGTGAGAAGGAGACAGTGATGATGAGGCTGTGACTGATACATCTTTATGCAGAGACTAACCGAGGTCTTTTAGCTGGGGGAGACTGAGGGGGTTTGAGGGGTTCTTGCAACTTAAAGGTAGAAAAAGCAAAAAAGCTTTGACTGGATGGGGATTTTGATGCTCTTCCGGTGGTTTTAGAGCCAGAGACCCAGGAATGCTTCCCCAGAGCCACCCGACCCCTTCTGTGAGATTCAGAGGTGACGGTATCCAAGGGAAGAGCAGAACAGAAGTGAACCACATCTCTGTGTAAAAAGCCATGTAATTGCCCTGTACTCTAGTATAGAGCCCTGGGAAATACTGAGTTTAGAGCTTGTGAGATGGACCCAAGGAGGGCATTTTGCTCCTTTCTACCTGCTCTTCCCTAAGCTCTAAGAAGCAAGCAGACTGACATAAAAAAATTAGTCAAAAGAGAGATGTTGGCCTCAGTGTCCCCACCCAGCCCTGTGGAATCCCGAAGAGAGTGCAGCCAGCTGGGCCTTGCTGGGGACTGTTGGCAGCGTGGAGACGGCATGTGGGGATGCCTGGCCCAAATGGCATGTGGGTTTGTGCCTGGGAAACATAGTGGCGAGACCCACCAGCAGAGTCGCAGTCCAGTTGCCGTCCCAGCAGTCCTTTCTCCTGGGTGGTTGGTGAAGGGGGCAGGTCAGCAGGAGGGTCCCCCCACCCTTGCCATTCATAGCCCACTGCCTTTCTTAGTCATGTTCAGGTGTACCCTCCCCATGACGACTGATAGCAGACACAGGACTAGAGCACTGCTTGCACAGGACTTGTTAAAAAAGAATTTGTTGTAGCTGTACCAGTAAAACAAGCATTATGCCAAATGCTCAAAATAGGAGCTTACCTATTAATCATGCTCCTTGGAATTTACTCCATAAATACGCTCCCATATGGGCAAAGTGGCTCCTGTGCCAACCAGCACTGTTTGTAATAGCGGGTTGTTGGACACAGCCCAGGTGGTCATCGGTAGGGGCTGATTGTATTATGCTCTGGCCCTGCGCTGGAAAGCTCCAAAGCTGTGAAAATGGGAAAACACCATACTAATATAACAGTCTCTAAGACATTGTTAGGTGAAGAAAAGCTGGCACAGAGAGTATGGTGGGACACCTTTTACAAGTATGATGTTTTTTTAAAATGTGGGGGTGAGGTGTATACGCATGGACTGTTTCTACAGGCATACAGAAAGTTACTGTCAGTTGCAGCGATGGACAGCTGGACTGCTAGAAGTCGGGCTGGAGGGCTGTGTGATGGGGAAGGGAGGCAAACAACGGGAAATGTTTTGAAGCCATCAGCAGTAAGAGTGGGGTGTGGGGACAGAGAGGGAAGAAAAAGCAGGTTGATGGTGAAGGAAAGTAGAAAAGGAAAAGATGAAGGCAGGAGACAAAGGTGGATGGAGCTGGGGGACGGGATCAGAACAAACCATGAATGAAGGCAGCAGGTATGTACTGAGCTCGGGCTCTGCCAGCCTGGCTAGCCCTCAAGCCTGAACAACACAGGCTGTGGTCCTCAGCCTCTGTGCCCCCTGTGCATGCCTCCCTCTGTCTTCTGCGGCAGTGGACGTGCCACTAAGGTGCTGGGGAGCTGGTACCAGAGATAAAGGGGGAGCTCCTGCTGCCTCCGGGGAGTGCCTTTCTGACTGTTGGGGCCCGGTGGCTCCCTTCCTTGTCTGCACTGCTGCCCTGAAGGTCCAGACCTCACAGTTCAGCGCTTGATTCACTGTTTTGCATATTGTTTTATTATCTAACTAAATTTTTTTTAAGATTTTATTTGTTTATATGACTGAGAGGGATCACAAGGAGGCAGAGAGGCAGGCAGAGGGAGGGGGAAGCAGGCTCCCTGCTAAGCAGAGAGCCTAATGCGGGGCTCGATCCTAGGACCCTGAGATCATGACCCGAGCTGAAGGCAGAGGCTTAACCCACTGAGTCACCCAGGTGCCCTATCTAATTAAATCATGAAATCCCAAGGACAAGGACTTCGTCTAAGTTGGGGATGATAATTGATTAGGGGAAAAGGCTGATGAGAAGGAGTAAGTGCTAAAAGTATTAACCTGTTAGATCTGTCCCCATTAATCAATCTGAGAAGCTGGACATAAGCTCATAAATGAAATTTGTTTACATGATTTTGTCTCCTTAGAGGAAAGGTGGGATGCACAGCACGGACTCTGCATCTTCGGGAATACCGTGCAGTTCATTTGGGCCTGAAGTTTACATTGGGAATAAAGTTTTTCAAGCATTCGAATGAGGGTGGTCCTAGCTCAGTGAGTCAATCCAGCTCTTCTTCCTAGGACAGATGACATTGAATGATAAAATGTTTGCCAGGTGAAGAGAGGAAGGGAAGCAATCAAGCAAAACGAACATTGGGAGCAGAAGTCTCAAGGTGGGAAAGAGCTTGGTCTGTCCCTCGGGTCCCATCTGGCTTAGTCCAGAGAGGTACTAAGGAAGTTGAAGGTGGAGGGGTCGGAGGAGTGGCCAGAATCCCGGATGGCTTTGTGTAACAGGTAAAGGAGAAGATGACATTCTCTGAGCCAGTGTGTTTTAGACTTTCCTGCCAGCGGAAGGCAAAATGGAATGATGCCCACTCTGGAAAGTGGGAAGGAAGGAGAGTTAGTCTTAAGCCTCACTTTTTTTTTTACTTCTTTATCTTTGACCTATACAAAGTTTGCTTTCTGCTCCAGAGTCAGTGAGTGACAGGTTAAGACATCTTTCAGATAACTTACCATTTTGTAACTGTGATGCTCCTCATACTTCCTTGAACCTGGGGCTTTGTGGCTCTAGGCAGTAGGGAGCTTGGGAGGTGTTTGCAGCAAGGAGGGTTCTGCCTTCTCTTGCGTAACTATGGAAGGGCTGGTGGAGGCAGCTCACTGGGAGGAGAGAGCAGCAATGGCCAGGATCTTGACACACCCTAACCTTGGTGAGTCCTCACGGCATCCCCCAGAGTGAGTGGAGGGCAGGAAAGAAAAGCCCATAAAGATTGCACCACTGGTACATGGTGAAGACAGGAAGTGAATCGAGGATTTCCTGACTTTAAGGCCTGTGCTAATCCCATGCACTTCACCGCTCCAGAAAGCAGAGAGCCAGAGGGCTCCTGCCGTGGTCTAGGTGAGAGGTGATGCGGACCTGACGAAGGCAGAGGTGGGAGAGATGAAAGGGGATTTAGTGACTTCCTGGATGGGATTGGGAGGAGGAAAAAGCAGGGTAATTATAGCTCTCCAGGGTAGATGAAGTTTGCCATTAACCTGTGATCATAAGGAAACAAGAAAAGTAGAAGCAAGGTCGAGGCTTATCATTCCCAGGTTGGATGTTGTCAGGAGTGGGTCCTAGAGCCCCCAAAGAGCACATCGTCACAGCCAGGATAACACGTGAGCTCAGCGTGGCCTGGGGGTTGTCTTGTAGGTTTGTTTGAAGAGACTCCACCAGAGGGCCAGGAAAGAGGAGAAGGGAGTTGAGCTGGCGTATCTGGAGCAGCTTCATGGTCAGCACGAAGCCTGGCTTGTTCACAAGACAACTGAGTAAGTGGAGAAGACATCACGCACAGACACCTGCCTTCCTACAGCCAGGTGCTCAAACACAAGCTCAACCGGCAGCCCCTGAGAAGGTTCAGGATAGACCAAGTGGTTAGAAATCGGAGAAGCTCAATATTAGCTATAATCTGTATATTTTAAGAGGCATTTTATTAGATTCTGTTTCTCCAAAAAAAAAAAAAGATTCTGTTTCTCCAGCTTTTTTGTTTTTTAACATTTCCCTAGATTGAACATTGTAATGATGGTGATAGAGTTGACACAGGGTGAAAAATTTGAGAGAATTTGTCCATTTTACTAAGCTGACAGTCCTAGTTTTGGACTTTCCTCCCTCCAGGCTTGGTATGTAGTCCACTTGAAATGTTTGGGGCTCTGACCTTCAGTATCCATCTCAAGACTAAAGAGAAATTTTCAGCCTTCCTCTTTGTAGCCAACTTTATTAAATTCTTTTTTTTTTTTAATTGTAATTTACATGCAGTTCTACTGAGAAGCCTTGTGACTTTAGTTCTCTTCTATGGATTATTAAGACATGGTGAGTATGTGAAGGGTCAGCTGTGTTTTTTCTTTTTTCTTTTTTTTATAGATTTTATTTATTTATTTCACAGACAGAGATCATAAGTAGGCAGAGAGGCAGGCAGAGAGAGAGGAGGAAGCAGGCTGCCTGCTGAGCAGAGAGCCCGATGTGGGGCTCAATCCCAGGACCCTGAGATCATGACCTGAGCCGAAGGCAGAGGCTTTAACCCACTGAGCCACCCAGGCGCCACCCAGGCGCCACCCAGGTGCCCTAGCTTTCTTTTTTCTGTTCATGCTTCTTACAGGCTCCACTTTGAGGCTCTGCTGAACATTCCAGTGCTGGTGTTGGATGTCAATGAAGATTTTTCTGAAGAAGTAACCAAACAAGAGGAACTCATGAAAAAGGTGGAGGAGGACCTTAACTCCTGCTTCTAGTGATTTTCCTTTATTGCACTTTAATCTTTGCTTCAGACTTCAATGTAATGGGCCTTGCGCTTTGTGCTTCAAATTTCATTTCACACTCTAAAGCCTACAGGGCCTTGTACAAGTCACAAATACAGTCCCTATTCTCTAAAGCATTTTGGGCTAATAATTGTTAAATAATAGGCTTGCTCCCTAACTTCCTCCTCAAAGGTATTTTTGGACTGGGGAAATGGAATTTCTGGATTCTCTTTTCAGCTCAGCACTTCCACTACATGACCCTGTGCAAGTCCCATTTCCTCCCCTTTCCAATTTTTCCTAATTTATAACACCTTGTGGGTGTGGCCACATACCAGTGTGGGTGGACTAATGTAGAGTCTGCTGAAAATGTGAAATTTAACTTTTGGTTTTTCTCTTTCCCACAGGTAAACACCTTTGTAAAGAATCTGTAACCAGTACTGGGATGTTCTGGCCATGACTTGGGCTCTCTGACTTTCTAAAGCTGGAAAAATCCTAAGTCCTGTACCTTGCCATCTCCTTTTACCCCTAGAGTCCTCTGACCCTCGGATCCCTGGTTTGTGTTAGCCTTTGACTTTGCAATTCCCGTCTTTTATATCTCAAGGACTTCTAAAATAAAGTGGAAGTTTTGCTTCTTTTGCTAATCCGGTTGTTGGTTTCTCTCTTGGTCCTACTCTGAATTCCCCTCTAGATGAGCCATTTTCACCTGAGGACAGTCCGAGCTTTTCCTCTTGAATCCTTTGCCACCCAGACTTCCTTATGTCTGCTTATTCCCTCTGACATGCCCGGGCAGGGATTGTTCAAGCCCTACCCTGGGCATGAAAGGGAAGTACGGTGGCTCAGGAAAGGGTGGACACTCTGTGCGAGCCCCAGAGCTAGGGATGGAATCCAGACTCTAGGATGTTCCTTTCTCTCTTCCCATCCAGCACTCTTGTTAGGGGGTATGGGGCACTCAGACCTTTGTGCTAGAGCTGAAGAACATGGACCAAAGGGGAGAAAGAAAGGGAGAAAACAAATCTGGAGTAGTCCAGATCTCACATTTAGGGCTTGGTCATCCCGGCACGCTGACCTGTCCAAAGTATTGTACCCACTGCGTGTCATGTGCTCTCAACGGAGTGACTGTGCTGGAAGGAGAATCTTTCGTGCTGCACTTGAAGCTCCCAAGGACATTCATTAGTAAGGGAGAAAAACACACGGCTCTATAGACTTGAAGTGCTCCATTGCAAGAAGTCTGCAGGTCCCTGTTTCCCTGGGAGTGGATTTCCTGCACTGAGCCCTCGACAGTTGTGCGAGCACACAGGAAAATGAATAAGCTCAGGCAGCAGTGTCCTGGAAGACAGAAACCTGTGTTTTCCTTTATGCTTGGGAAAACGAGTGTGAGCTTGGCTTCTGACAAATGCATGCCATTGTGAAATAGAAACACAGTGTTTCTTTACCTTACTTAAATTTTCAACAGCTTTATTGAGATATAATTCATGTACCATACAATTCACCTAATTAAAGTGTACAGTTCAGTGGTTTTTAGTACAGTCCATAGGGTTGTGCAACTATGACCACAGTCAATTCCAGAATGTCTTCAGCACCCCAAGAAAAATCCCCAGCCAACTAGTGGTCACTCCCCATCCCCTGTCACCACTGCTTCTCCCACCCCAGGCCAGCTCTGGGCAGCCACCAGTCTACTTTTGTCTCAATCTAGATTTGCCTTTTCTGGACATTTCATATAAATGGAATCACGTAAGATGTGGCCTCTTGGGAATGGTTTCTTTCACTTTTAAGGGTTTCAGGGTTCAGCCATGTACCATACATCAATACATCATTTCTTTTTTGTAACTAAATATTTCATTGTATGGCCATACCACATTTTGTTCACCCATTCATCTACTGATAGACGTGGATTCTACTTTCTGGCTATTGTGAATAATGCTATGAAAATTCACATACAAGTTTTTAGATTTTAATTCTTCTTGGGTATATACCAAGGAATGGAATTACTGGGTCCAATGGTAACTCCATGTTTAACTTTTGGAGGAACTGCTAAACTTTTCTGAAATGGCTGCACCATTTTACATTCTCTGGAGCAATATATGAGAGCTCCAGTCTCCCCAGGTCCTTGCCAACACTTGCTGTCATTCTGATTATGGCCATCCTAGTATCCTGTCATGGTTTTGATTTACATTCCCTGGTGGCTGTAATGCTGTTGAGCATCCTTTCATGTTCTTACTGGTCATTTGTATTCTTTCTTTGGAAAAATACCTCTTCAATTTAATGGACAAATTCCTTTGTCCATTTTTCAGTTAGGTTCTTTGGCTTTTTGTTGTTGAGTTGTATGAGACTTTAGATATTCTGGAAAAAAGTTTTTATCAGAGACATGATTTATAAATATTTTCTTCCATTCTGTGGGGTGTATTTTGATAGTGTGCTTTGAAGCACAAAAGTTTGTAATTTTGATAAGGTCTAGTTTAGTCACTTGTGCTTTTGGTGGCACGTCTAAGAAAATTTTGAACAACGCAAGGTGACTAAAGTTTGCTTCTACATTTTCTTCCAAGAGTTGCATAGTTTTGGCTCTTACATTAGGCCTGTGATTGATTTTGAGTTAATTTTGGTGTGTGGTGTAAGGAAGGATTCAGTTTCATTCTTTGGCATGTGCATATCCAGTTGTCCCACCATTAGTTGGAAAGATTATTCTCTTCTCCCACTGAATTGTCTTGTTACTCTTTTGGAAAATCGGACCCACTTGTTCTTGCATCTGTTGACTGCTACAGGCTTTGGACAAGACAACAGATGAACATAGGATGTTAGGTATGTTTTAGAAGCTCAATGGTTTGGGTTCTTTAGCTTTGAGGGGCCTAAATGTTTAATTTCCATTTCCATTTCCAGGAACCACTAACGTAGAAATCTGTAGACCCAGAATAAGAGCATGAGGCCCACTCCTTCACTCAGTTAACCAGTCATCAAACACTTGTCTCTGCTCTCTGCTAGAGACCAAGGAGAAAACAGTGAGCACAACAGAAGGCAGACCTTGTCCTTACCCTGCAGAATTAATCTAATGGTGAATGTGAAAGACCCTGAGCGAGTAATTGCAGTTATGGTGGCCATTCCGAAAGGAGAAGTGCAGGTGGTGTGGGGGCCTACAGCAGAAGGAGCCAACATAACCTAGGATAGCCCCCCCCCAAGAAAGTGACAGCTGTTCTGAGTTCTGAAGAATGAATGGGGCAGGTCATTAAGGCAGGGGAAAAGGTCACAGGCCAAGGCCTCTGTATGAGAATGAGGCATTAGGCCCAGCTTGTCAAAACTGAATGAGGCTAGGGGGTTTATAATTTAGCAACACACTGCTATCCTTCACATTTTCCACTCAGCCTGAAAACCTGGAAATCCAGCATTTCTTTCCCTGTGTACCCTTAGCCCTTTAGAAAGAGAATGTTTTGTAGGATAGTGCCATCAACGACCTCACCTGGATGAAATAATGTGCCCTTTACCAGACTGGTAGCGGAGAAAGTGGTTTAGCGAGGAGCTGTAGCTCTGGACCTTAAGCATCTGAGGAGGGGTGCTCTGGGAGGGGTGTTTAAACACGGAGACCAGCTCTACACAGTCTAGCAGGTCTGGTGGCCATCCCACTCTTCATTTAGGCTGTCCTCCAATGTCACAGAACTTGGATTAACACATAAAAGTAACTAGATTTCATTCTCGTTTATGATGTGGTAAAACCTGTTCTTCTGGAACCAGAATATTACCTTGATGGGTTTATAATGTGAACCAAGATTGTGAAAGTTCTCAAACTCTCAGGCTTTCGACATGAAGGGAGAAGGTGATAGTTTCAGGTGAAAAAGGCTGCTTGTTAAATGCAAACACTAGAACCCCAGGGACACTGAAGCAAGGGAAGAACAGGCACTTTAAACTGAAAGACTGCTCAACCTTCAGCCTCACTTTAGAGAGTGGCCAGCTTACATCTGGACCACTTTCTCCTCTGTTGGTCTCTTCTAGCTGTTCAATTATTTGGTGTGTCCCTTGGTTAATTTCTGTCTTTACCCACTGTTCTGAGTGATCTCATGTTCTTCTTTTCTTTTCTTCCTTTCTTTCTTTTCTTTCTTTTTTTTTTTTTTTTTGTGCTGCCATATCAAGTTGCCACAATGTGGATTAAAGTAGCACATTTAACTTCTAGTTCTACAGTCAGAACTCTGACATGAGTCCCACTGAGCTTGAATCAGATTATCAGCAGGCCTGCATTCCTTTCTGGAGATTCTGGAGGAGAATCTGTTTCTTTGCCTTTTCTGTCTTCTCGAGGCTGCCCATATTCCCTGACTTGTGGCCCCTTCTGCCTTCAAGACCAGCAAAGTCTATGACCCTTCTTCCGTGGTCACATTTCTTTCTGACTGCAGCCAGGGAAGGTTCTCTGCTTTTAAGGACCCACGTGATTATACTGGGGCCGAATACTCTCCCCATCTCAAGATCTTTAGCTTTAATTAAATCTGTGAAGTCCCTTTTGCTATTAAGATAACATACAAGTGTCAGGGATCAGGACGTGGATGTCATTGGAGGGCTGTTACTCACCCTTGCAGAGATCTCAACGTCATGGCTCCTACTGTCATCACAGGGTGAGGACCTCTGAAGAACTTGCAAACGTGGAAAATGTGAGTCATTAGTAATAGCAGAGGGAATAGTCCAAAAAACCCCTGTATCCCCATTACCCACACGCTGGCCCAATCAGCCTAGGATCCCTAGGAGCAAACCTGTAGTTCGACAAAATCCGATTTACTAATTCATTGCAATGAGGGAGGCCACACGGGAGGAACTAGGGGTATCTGACCAAACAGGAAAAGAGAGAATTAAAGGATTTGGGGGAAGGATAGAGTTTAGGTCAAAATGTAAATGAAGCAGTGCTTTGACAGGCTCAAAGCAAAGCAGGTCTATGTATACAGGAGCCAACACCTGGTCTGAACTGCACAGTAGACCCGGGTTGATTTCCTGCAAAAATACGAAGTTAAGGTAAACGTGGACTGTTGGGTTCAGAAGCCCCTTATCAGAAGCTCTGAACCTGAGGTGCAGACCGAGAGCGCTGCTCAAAGTGACTTAGATCCTCCTGGCAACAGAAGGGGGTTTCATTTTTACTGATAAAATTTCAAACAGTGAAATTTCTGATGGTCCATCATTTTAGAGAACAAGGTTTCTCAGTGAGTCAGAAAGCAGCAGTTCCGCAAAGGAGGGGGCGGTTATGATGCTTTAGCTGCCCTTGGGAGGAATATTGTTCCACAGTAACTTTGTAGCCCTCCAGCTTTGGTTTTCTTAGTCTGAGCTAATTTTTACTTTCTCACCCACTTCGGTTATCTATTCAGAGCAAATCTGGTGTCACTTAGGACCAAATCACCACCCTCTGATTGTTCTGAAGCAAATCCCAGACAGGAGGATGACTTTGAAAGCTGCTCACAGGTGACCACAGGAGTCCTCCTCCCCGTCCTCCAACTCTGTTTCTACACCCTTTCTCCCCAAATTCTGCTTGTTCCTCTCTGAAAGCTCTCAGACCTTCCCTGCACCTCCGTGTCTGCCGCTCTAGCTGCAGGTGTGCCGTGCACGGTGCGGTCCAGTCCCCCAGATTCCTCGACTCCACCTCCTCTTTCGCAGCAGACACCCAGCTCCCTTCCCAGCATGG